AATCTGCTCTGCAAACTTTCACCCAAATCACAATAAAAATTAAAAAAAAAGAAAGAAAACCCTATGGAGCCAACTTCTACTCTGTCACATGGTTCACCAGGAGTCAGAACTGACTCAGGGCCATGGGTTTCTGTCTTGCTTTTGTGGTGTTCTGTCTCAGAATGTTTTCTCTGTCTCTCAAGAACCGGCAGACATTATTCTACTCCCAGCAGCACCCAGACTCCAGGGCACCCCATGAGTGCTCTCCTGGTCTCAGTTTCCCCATCTGTAAAGGGAGACCCAGCCTGTTGGGCTGCAGAGGACCCTCTGGATCTAACAAGGTAGACTGTGCGTCCCTTGTGCCTGACTCCCAGCCCACAGCACTTACCAGAAACCATTCCAGCACGTAGTGGTCGTGGGCTCCTGTGGGGGTGCAGTCCAGGGTGACAGGCTCGCCGCGCATCACCTCCACCAGCGGGGGCACCGAGACGTGCACTTCAGCCTCAGCACCTGTGGGAGGACGAGAGCGCTCACCAGGTGCCACGGGGACAGTCGGCCAGGCAGAGCCAGGAGTCCAGGCCCCAGACCCTCCTCTTCCCCCAGACCCAGGGGTCCGGGGCCCCAGCACCTACCTCCCTCAGACCTGGGAGTCTGGGCCTCTGGCCACCTCCTCCCTCAGACCCAGGAGTCCAGGTCTCAGCTCCCTCCTCTCCCAGACCCAGGAGTCCTGTCCTCCCCCATCCCTCAGACCCAGGAGTCCTGGCCCCAGACCCTCCTCTTCCCTCAGACCCAGGGGTCCGGGGCCCCAGCACCTACCTCCCTCAGACCTGGGAGTCCAGGTCTCAGCTCCCTCTTCCCTCAGACCCAGGAGTCCCAGTCCCCAGCTCCCTCCTCTCCCAGACCCAGGAGTCCTGGCCCCCACACCCGCTTCCCTCAGACCCAGCCCCCTCCGTCTCTTCTCTCCTCTACCTCAGACCCTGTCAGGGCTTCTCTCCACCTCTCCCTTCACTTGCTGAGCTGGACGCTCCTCCCTGGGAGCGCAGTGCCCTGGGGACCTCCAGCCAATGACCCTGGGCCAAGACTGAGTCTGTCCTGCTTCTCCCACTAGACCAACCACCCCCAGAGCGGGGCCAGGCCTGGTCCTCCCTGCATCCGGCTCCCGGGCCGGGCCTGCACAGGGATGTGGGCACCTGTCTCTCCCTATGGTGGTCTCCATCTCTGCGTGCCAGACGCACATCCTGGGTCTCACCGTAGTTTCCGGTTTGGGTACATTCATCTCTCAGTCTCTGTCTCTCTACCTGTCCCTCTCAGCCTCCATCTCTTTCAGTCCCTGGGTATCTTACCCTCCCTCAGAAGTAGGGGGTCTGGGGTGTGGGCTTTGGGCTGGGCCTGGAGCTGAGGCGGGCTGGGTGCGTGGGGGTGGTGAGGGGGGACAGGGCTGGGCAGGTTTCAGGAATGTGGGAGGGACAGGCTGGCTCAGACCTGCCTGGCTTGGCTTGGCGCCAGAGCCCCCTGCCCGCCCCCTGGCCCCTCTTTGATAGGGGCTAAGATGAGTCACCCCAGAACAGAGTAGGGTTAAGGCTCAGGATTTTGGGTTCTGATGAAGGAGGGCCCAGACTCCTGGATCTAAGAGAGGAGGAGGGGGGCTGGGGTTAGGACTCATGGGTCTGAGGGACGAAAGGTCTGGGCCCCTTGACTCCTAAGTCTGAGGGAGAAGGGGGCCGGGGTCAGGACTCCTGGGTCTAAGGGAGGAGGGGCTGGGGGTCTGACTTCTGGGTCTGAGAGGGAAGGAGGCTGGCTGGGGCCTGGACTCCTGGGTCTAAGAGAGGACACAGGTCTGCCACCCCGCCACTCCTGAGTCAAAGGAGGGACTGGGGTCCTGACTCCTGGGTCTAAGTGAAGAGAGGGCTGGGGTCCTGACTCCTGAATCTTGGGGAAGTAGGGAGCTGTGGGTCTCAACTGGGTCCTGGGTCCAGTGGAATGAGCCACTGGTTCTTGTAAGGAAACCCCCTCTCTGGCCCTCTGGGTTGGCATCCTGGCACCAGCTCTTAATTCTTAGGACCTCCCTTCCCTTCCCTTCCCTTCCCCGCCCAGCCCGGCCCTGCCCAGCCCCTGGGGATCCACTATTTGCCAAGCTTGTGCCAGGGGCCTGGATTCCCAGGTACCCACTTCTGGTCCCAGTCAGTCCCGGGCAAGGGGCATGAGCCAGGCTGGAGTCTGGGGCAGGGTCTGAGCTCACACAGAAAACGGAAGGCAAAGGGGTCTCCCCTCTCCGTCCCAGTCTCTTTCAGGGGCCTGTTCCTCAGCTCCCAGCCCCTCAGGGCCTCCTCCTTTCCCACCACCGGGCAGGTGTATGGATTTATCTGGGGCCCAGGAAGGGGGCACCGTCATTTGGAAAAACACTTTGTTCCACTGTCACTGCCCTTTGCAGAGGGAGGTGGGGTCTTTGGAGTCTGGCCTCGGAGTCTAGGTTGAAAACCCCCAATGAGTGGGACTTGCTGGTTTCTGGCCACAAGGTCCCTAGCTTCTCTGAAGGGTGCCTGGCCTCCTTCAAACTCTCGAGAACCTTTGAGTGGGACCCCTGGGCGTTCGGTGTTTTGCGTCCTGGGAGAAGAGGTGTCTGGAGGTTTGGACTCCTGGTGGGAGGGAGAAGCGGGCTGAGGACCGCAGATTCGGGGAAGGAAGGGCTGGGGGCCCGGACTCCTGGGTTCTGAGCAGGAGAGGGTGACTTCTCCATGCCTTCCGATCTTCCGCCATGCCACCCCCAGCTCCCCAGCTCTCCGACTGGGATGGGTACCCCTTAACACTCCCATACCCTGCTCCCTGGGTCCCCAGGTTTTGTCCTCTCCCTTCCCGGGGTTCCCCGGGGCTACCCCCCCAGTGTCACCCTGCTCCCAGCCCGAGCCATACCTGGGCGCGCCCCAAGTAGGAGCGTCAACAGCAGCAGCCGCGAGGCCCCGCGCGCCCCAGCCAAAGCGTCCGGGGGCTCCATGTTCGCAGCGGTGGCGGCGCTGGAGGCGACTAAGCCCGGCTGCCTGCGGCTCGGCTCGGCCAGGGCGGGCTGGGGAGCTGGAGGCCCCGCCCAGCCCCGCCCTCGGGTCCCCGTCATTCCCCACCCCCCCAGTACAGGCGCGGGGCCAGGACCTCCCACTGCCCTGGAGCGGACCTCCCTGTTCACCGCGGGCGGGCGCGCGCGCGCGCGGGCCACCCTCCGCCCCCAAGCCCCGGCGTCCGCGCTCGGCTGACCGACCAGTCTAGCCAGTGGCCTGGGCTCTGACCTTCCCGGGCCATCGCGGACCTCTCTCCCTGCCCGATCTGCCCAAGGGCCTTAGGGAGTCCTTTTCGCTATGGGCAGGGAGCTGGGCAACTTGAACCAGCAGACCCCAATACAACCAGTGGCCTGCACTGTCCTCTCCTCGTGCGGCCAGTGGCCATCACATCTACCAAGGACCCTCACTGGCCTCTCCTAGTACAACACCCTGACCAGTGGCCTGAGTTAGCCTCCCCTTGTACAGCCAGTGAGCCCCAGCCCTAACCAGTGACCTGCGCTGGCCCAATGGCTCCCAACCTGACCAGCTGCTCCCGGTAAGCCCTACCCTGTGGCCAGCTCTCTGGCCTGCTCTCCTGAGCAGTGGTCCGGAACCAGCCAGTTCAATCTCATACCTAATGGTCTTCAAATCCTAGTTCCGCCGGCCCTCTGTGACCAGGGGTGGGAGGGCCGCCGGTGTTCTCCCCTGTGGGGCCTCCCTTTCCGCCCCCACCTCTAGGGAATCCCAGGAATGCCACCCCCCTTCCTTCTCCCTCTCTCCCCTACACTCCCTCCCAGCCTAGAGGGGAAGGGAGGAGAAGCTGGCAGGAAGGAGCAGGTGAGTGGGGGAAGGGAGGGGATCCGTGCACTTGGAGCTGGGGGAAGGGGCCAGCCACGAGTCAGAAGGTGAGGGTCGTGGGTCAGAAGGGAGCTCACAGGTCAGATGGCCTCAGAGGCCTGCAACCCAGGTCACAGTGGGACAAAATCCCCCAGACTGCTGGTTGGGCAGGGGGGTGGGTGTGATGTCACGGGTCACTTGGAAGAAGCTAACCCAGAAACAGTGGTCAGGATGAGGACACTGGTCACGCTGGGAAAGATTCCTGAGGAGGCCACTGGCAGAGTGAGGGGGGTCACATCAGACCCAGAGGGGTGGCTTAGGCCACAGGTCAGCCTGGGGGTCATGTCGTCTGACTGATCACGGCTACTTTATCCATTGCTCATACCGAGGCTCAATTGTTACAGCAGGTGTCGTTGTTGCATATCATGGAGTAGATTTCAAGTCACAGTGACCCCTTGTGACAGAGAACTGCCCCACAGAATCTTCCAGACTGTAATCTTTATGGAAGCAGATGACCAGTTCTCCTGCAGAGCCACTAGGTGCTTCAAACCACCAACCTTTCTTTGAGCAGCTGAATGTTTACCTGTTTAGGCCACCAAGGCTCCATGTTATATGGGAAAAGGTGATATCTCACTATTAGTCACACTATCCCCTTCTCCAAGAAAGGGTCCGTGCCACCACGCTGGGTCAGCCAGCCCCTCTGGACTCCTGCAGTGTCCTGGGCTCCGCATCTCAGCCCTGCCCACACTGAATGGTGGACATCTGGAGTCTGATCCGTCTCCTGCTCTAGACTGGGGGCCCATGAGGTCTTGGTCACCTCTGTGTCCCCAGCCCCGCCCAGCACAAGCCAGAGCACAGAGCAGGTACTGGGAGAAGGCTTTCAAGGTGCCATATCAGTAGCAGTCAGACACATGAGCAGACCTCACCCATGTTAGATCATCACGGGACCAGAGAACCAGCTCACTCCCCGACAGCCCCAAGTTCTCCCGGGCACAGACTCCCCTGGTTGCCACCCCAGATGCCCACTTCCAGGCTCTTCTGTCCTCAGCTTGTGCACCTGCTGTTCCCAGCCAGGATGGATCCTGGTGGGTGCACTCTCATCAACCATCCCCTTCCCACCTTCCTCAAGAAGCCATCTGAATTTCTAGGTAAGGGAGAAGGAATATATGGAGTGTATATAGAGGAACGAAAAAGGGGAAGTCCCTCTATGACATGGACTGACACAGTGGCTGCAATGATGGGCTCAAGCTTAGCAAAGACTGTGAAGATGGGTCAGATCAGGCACATGTTTCGTTCTTTTGTGCATACGGTCGCTGTGAGTCGGGGCTCACTTCACAGCATCTAACAACCACAACATATGGGGGGGAAGGAGCCCCGGAGGCACAAACAGGTTGGCAATTTGAACCCACTCAGCAGCTATGAGGGAGCAAGACGTGGTGATCTGTTCCCATAAAGATTACAGCCTAGAAAACTCTATGGGGCAGATCTGCTCTGTCCTATAGGGTCTCTAGGAGCTCTGGTAGCATAGTGCCTAAGGCACTTGACCGCTAACCAGAAGGCTGGCGGTTCAAACCCACCAGCCACTCCTCAGAAGGAAGGCTGGGCAATCTACTTCCATAGCGATACTGCCTCGGAAACCCAAGGAGGGGTTGCTATGAGTTGGGTCCGACTCAACGGCACATAACAACAACAACAAGAGTCAGAATTGACTTGATGACACACAACAGCATATGGAAGATGTCGTTGTTGTTAGGTGCTGACCACTAGGTTCCAACTCATAGCAACCCTGTGTACAACAGAACGAAACACAATGGCGGTGCTGTGAGATTCTCAGAATCTTAGCTGCGTGAACCCCTCCTTGCAGCCACTGTGTCAGTCCATCTCGTTGGGGGTCTTCCTGTCTTTCGCTGACCCTCTATTTTACTAAGCATGATGTCTTTCTCCAGAGATTGGCTCCACCTGGAGGACTGAAGTGCACCTGCTCAAGCCATGGTGTTTGCAATCGCCCCCTTGCACGCGAAAGCTGAACAATGAATAAGGAAGATCGGAGAAGAATTGATGCCTTCAGGTGATGGTGTTGGCAAAGTATGGGAGATGGCAGCCAGGCCCTTGCAGACTTGCAGAAACTAGTGCAGTGACATCATCTGCCCTTGATTCCTACACTGCGTTCTCATAAACAGCCAGAGGGATCCCGTTAAAGTGTGAGTCAGATGGCATCATTCTGCTCTGGAACCCTCCCTTGGGGCCCCCTGTCGCCAGAGTGGAAGCTAAAGTTCTCCCCTTGATCTGGCCTCCGTTACCTCTCTGACTTCATCTCCCGCTCCCTCCCTCGCTAACTCCCCTCTGTCACCCCAGCCTCTGGGCTTCCAAGCTTTCCCTTCAAAACACCAGGTGTGTTCTAGCCTCTTGTTCCATCCAGTGTGGGGGCCTTTGCATTTGCTGGTTCACTCCCTCCTCCTCCCCTGGATATCCCCGCACTTCCTACCCTCACCTGCTTCAAACCTCTTCTCCAACCTCACCTTGCCCCTGGAGCACTTTGCCAGCCACTCCTTACGCCCCTTTCTCTTCATTTTTCCTTATCACTGCCTGAGAGATCATGGACAGAGCATTAGGCATGGTTGGCACTGTGGTTAAAGCATTGGGCTGCTAACCAGAACGTTAGCAGTTTGAATCCACCACTTGCTCCTGGGAGGAAAGATGAAGCAGTTGGCTTCCATAAAGATTGACAGCCTTGGAAATCCTACAGGGACAGTTCTACTCTATTCTCTATGGGCGCTGTGAGTCAGAATTATTCATGGGCAGGGGATTTGGCTTTCAGTTTGGGTAGATTATGTTTATTTTTTTATTGTCTTGTCCAGTAAACAAAAAAACGGTGCGTCTACCCCTGCAGTTCCAGTGGCAACTGGTTTGGTTACGGGGCGGAGCTGGACAAGTCCTTATGCAATGAATTCATGATTTTTCCCTGACACCATCCTTGCCCTGTTGCTGTTAGGTGTCACTGAGTTGATTTCAACCACTAGTGACCCCTGTGACAGGGTAGAACAGCTCCATGGGATTTCGTAGCGGATAAAGCATTTGGCTACTAACCAGAAGGTCAGCAGTTCAAACCCACCACTCACTCCTTGGAAGGAAGATGGGGCAATCTACTTCCATAAATATTTACAGCCTCGGAAACCCAATGGGAGTCACTATGAGTTGCAACTGACTCAATGGCAGTTAGTTTGAGTTTGTTTTTTAATCTTTACAGGAACAGATTGCCAGACTGCCCTTGGAGCCACTGAGTGGGTTTGAAACACCAACCTTTTGGTTAACAGCTGAGCACTTAACCGGTGTGCTATCAGGGCTCCTTACACACACACACACACAGAGACACAAACACACTAACGAGAGGCAGAGAGAGAGAGAGACTCTATGGGAGTCACCATGAATCGGAATCAACTTGATGTCAGTGGTTTTTAAATAACAAAACTTTGATCAATTCAGTAACTTCCACATTTACAATTCGATATTTATTACGTTTTTCAGGTTGTATCGCTATTAGTCCTAGCCTTTTCTAAATGATTCTGCCACCATTTATACTTGTCTGTTTTCTCTAAAAGGAGCCATGGTGATGGCAGTGGTTAAGTGCCTGGCTGCAATCCAAAAGGTCAGCAGTTCGAGCCCACCCGCCCTTCCAAATGTGTCACAATTCCCAAATTGCACAAGCTGTGAACTATTTTTAAAGTTAACCATGTGTGTGAGTTAAGGTTGTGTGTCAACATGGATGGGCCTGGTTGAGTGGCTGGGCAGCTGGATGTAGTATTCCCCATGGTGAGATTGGTAATTAACTCCATGGTGGAATCTATTGGAGCAGCTGAGTAGCTGCCTTAGGGATGTGGTCTGCTTCCTGTAAATAAGAAGCGACCTTGAGGAAGCTCTCCAGCCTATGGCATGCTTGAACCCTGCATGTAGCTGAGTTGTTGTTCAGCAGCCTACCATGCTCTGCGACCTTGGGACTTTCAATAGACTTGAATTCATGGCCTGTCGTGTGGTTTGGTAACATCAGGACTGTGCCTTTTTACTTGTCGACCTTGAGTTTGTCAGCCTCGGCAGCCAGCAGCTGAGTGAAGAAAAGCCTCCAGCCTCAGTGGGCTGGGAGCAGGAGGCAGAGCTGAAGCCCAAGGTCGAGGGGCTTTCACCCAGCCCCTAGAGCCTGACACTTTGAATTTGGACTTAAAGCTTCCAAACTGTAAGAAAATAAACTCCTGTTTGTTAAAGCCATTCCAGGTGTGGTGTATTCCTATCAGAGCATCATTAGGTAACCAAAACACCATGTTACACACTGTATGTATAATGATATCATGAAGGTGGAGCAAAGATAAAGCTTGTTAGTTAAAATAAAAACCAAAACCAAACCAGTTGCCACTGACTTGATTCCTACTTATAGCGGTCCTATAGGACGAAGTGGAACTGGCCCCAGAGGGTTTCCAAGGCTGTAACCTTTATGGACTCAGACTGCTACACCTCGTTCTCACAGAGCAGCTGATGGGTTTGAACCCTCGACCTTTGGTTAGCAGCCAAGTCCTTAACCACTGTGCCGCCAGGGCTCCCCGTGTGCCCTCCTCTTAAATCTGTGTGGTTTAACTCACATGTAACCGCAGATTGTGGCAGAGATCTTGCTGCATGACTTCCCAGATCAGCTCAGAAACGCCCGTACAGCTCCCCCCGCTATTTGTTCACTGGAATATTCTTCACAAAGCTTGTGTCATCCCACAAGCAGTGTGATGCATGGAGACTGCCTTGCTGTGGGGAAGCCCAGATACAACCAAAGCTGAGACCACCTGGAGAGGCTCTGAGACACCCCCCCCCAGCAACAGGCTAGACCAGCCCCCCGCTGCTCGCTGCAGACACAGCCCAGCTGCCACTGCAAGCCCCATGCTCAGCCACAACCACCCAACTGAGCCCTTCCCCAAATCCTGGCCCACAGAAACCACAGACAATCTTCAGATTGCATTGCTTTCAACCACCCTGTTTTGAAGTGACCTGTTCTGGATGCTAGCTAATGAGAAAGGCAGACACATCCAGTTTCTGGGGCAGCACAGGCAGTCAGGTGGTCACTGGGGCACCAGCTTATGCTGCTCACCAGACCGGTTCTGTGACACGACCGTGACTGGGCCACCAGGGCCCAGCCAGCTGCCAGTGTTTCTGCTCATTTTCTGCTGCCGGGTCGGGTCTCCAGTCCCTCCCGGGATTCAGGGAGCAACCCAAAATCCTTTCAATGAATTCCCTTGCTGCTCAGGAGGTGGTCTGTATTGCTTGCAACTGAATCTCGCCTATCTGCTTCTGTGCGGGCCTCTTTCCTTTCTCTCATCCTTTGAGTCTCAGCTCGGACGTCCCCTCCTCCTGGAAGCCCTCCCTGACTGCATCAGCTGCTCCCTCAGGATTCCCGTAATCCTCCATCCTAGTTCTTCCCACTCTGGGCTGTCACTGTCTGGGCACAGGTCTGTCTCCTCACTGGACTGTGAACTCCGGGTTGGCAAGGCTGGGGCTGTTGTTATCAGTTTTGTTCCCAGCCTGGGGCTGGGCACAGAGAACGCGGACTGACTTAAACTGAAGTGAGAGAGGCTTTGTTGCTCACTCACAATTAGTGATAAGGCGGGGAGACACTTCTTTGGCCGGATTTAGGCTGGAAGTTAATGTCACTCTGGGAAAAGGACCCCCAACAGGAATGGAGGAGACAAGGATGGGGACAGGCAGGATGGGCACATAACCTTCAAGGAGACGTGGGGTCTCCAGTGATAAGGACTGAGATCTTGGATACCTGGGTCTGGGTTCAGGAGTTATTTTGTCCTGATGCAGGGGAGTGGGGTAGGTGTCTGATTTTCTGAGAGCCTGGGATTCTGGACTCCTGGGTCCTGAGAGCAGGAGGGAAAGTCGGAGGGGAGGGAGGAGGCTGGGGGAGGGAAGCAGACTCCACTTGAAGGTCTGAGGGAGGAGGGGACTAGGGGCTCAGACTCCTGAGCCCAGAGGAGCTGGGTCCCCCACTCCTGGCTCTTCAGACGCCCAGACTGCTAGGTTGGTCCAGTGGGGAATTAGGCCTCCGAGATGGCTCATTTCCAATGCCAAGCTGCCCCCTGGCGGTGGGTAGCACTCTCTCGCCACACGCCAGACAACAGATGGACTTGGCACTTTATTTCTGCTTCACAAACCCCCTTCCAGACCAAGCATCTTGTCTTGATATCCTGTGAGGCGGGAAGAGCAGTGGGTTAGACCGTTTCACTTCAGCTTAGGCAGGGTGGAGTGAGGTACGATGGGGCTAGACCAGGCGAGAGAACCTGGACAAAGGGGGAGACTCACCTAGCCCCCAGGCCTGGGCAGGTCGGGGTAGCTGGGAGGCTGCACTTTCCCTTTAGGAGTTTCTGCAGCGGAGAGAGTTGGAAGGGGGCTGTTGGCTTCCTGGGGTCTATTGCTTCACCCTGCCCCTTACCCCCCAACCCTTTCCACAGCTCCAGGTTGCCCCTTTACATACCCTGTGTGCCCCGCCCTGGCCTGGGGGCTGGAGTTGACCCTCCGTGGGACCGAGGCCACAGTCCGATTTTCGTCAGGGGGAAAGGAGCTCGAAGTCTGGGGACGGCCGGAGGTGCCTGGAAGGGAGGAGATGGAGAAGTGGCAGCCGGGCTGTGGCCATGGGCTTGGTATTCTATTTCACAGACCCAGACAGTGATGGGGGCCTTGTCCCCAGTCCATGCTGCTATTTCCCTTGCACCTCTGCCTTGAGTAGGAAGAGCTTTAAGTTGTTTGTTCATCCATCCACTCATCCATCTGTCTGTCCACCTACCTATCCATCCATCCATCCACATACCTATCCATCCATTCATCCATGTACTTATCCATCCA